AATTAGCAGAAACAATAACAGTATATAAGATTAGTTCATAAGCCTACGTTTTCGAACAATTTATCGTCTACGACAGTGGAAACTCTTCAACATAATAAAGATAAACATTCTGATCTTCTCATATTATTTTATTAAATGAACTTTTGCACCTAAAAAAGAAACTCTAAATTAAAATGAATGATAGAAGTTCTTTAGAACAGGATTGACAGAGCTAATTTACGCCTCAATAGTCGGAGATATTCCAAAGAAATTTATTTCTGTTTATATTGCATGACCATTCGCTTATTTTTTTTCATTTTCTTCAACATAGAAAAGAGAACAAGATGTATTGAATAATATCAAAGACTTGCGAATTCAAGTGATATTTTTTTCATGGCTTTTATTTAAACATCGCCACTTCTCTGTACTTCAAAATGGAAGAGAAACGATAAATGCTTATGAAATCACGACTTTACTATGGAAGAAAAAGTGAACATTTGAAAGAGTCTATAGGAAAGAAACAAGAGACAAGCATGAGATGATCTATCTAGTTACCTATGACGTATACGGTCTTGTAGATCTAACACTTTTATGTAAACAAAATGTATTTTACTTCTAAAAAAAAACATTGGTACATGCACTTATGTAACATTGCCGTCAAGAGTTAAAGATAACTTTAGACCTCATTCTTTTCTGAAAATAATTTTTATCGACACAGATACACTATTTTAACCTTATCTATTTCATTTCCACGTTTATAAAATATCATGAGTATAAAGTTCATGTGTGGCGTATTTTTCGCAACAATCTGTCTCCGCTATTTTGATGTAAATTATTCACAAGGAATTCTTTTATGAATAGAGAACAAGAGAAACTGTATTATGATCAACAGTTTAAATCAAAAATTAACTTAATCTTTACACTTATTTCATACAATCACTCGAATAAATAACAAAACATATGATGTTCAGTAGTACTAGATTTAGCTTTTCAAGTTTATCCATTCATATAACATCATTTTTAAATCGTTTACAAAGCAGATTTTATCTTCCTATAGAATTACATATTTTGCATCGTGTCTAACGTTGTAAGAAAAAAATATAATATTTTACACAAGAAATTTTTATTGAGATAATATGAGAAGAACATTAAATTAATAACGAAGGAAAATACGAACAAAAATCTTTTGTATAAATTATGGGGTATTTAACAATCAATTGTTTGACTTGAGCACAATTACGTCGAGTTTCATCTCTAGTAAAGTTTTTTGTCACCAAATCCAACTGTTGATAATTGACTTTTAATTCAGTTAAATGAGGTAAATGTGTTTTGGTTTCATTGAGAAAATGTTCAACATAATAAGTACTTACATAATCGATGTCAAGTGAAATAAGATGAGGAAATTCAACAATTGAGCACCAATCTGTATCATAAAGATGAGATTCATGACGTTTAAAAAATGGTGGTTCCATATTCCAAATCAATAAATATTTAAGAATTGGAAAAGCTCGAGCAAGTCGAACGAAAAATTTATGTTTGTATGGTTTTGGATCCCATAATGTCAAATAACTAACAAAATTAAATTGAATATTTGGAATATTATTTCCAATGTGTTTGAGACGATCAAATTTAAATGGAAGTGAGAAAACACGAGATATCATTTTGATAGAATCGAAATAATCTATCATACAAGCCACTGATCGATGTTTGATATGTGTGAAAGTTCTTTCAATATCTGACTTCGATATACGAATTGTTGGATTATCTATATATTTTTCACAAGCCATATAGAATGTAAACATATGAAGTCGTGACATATGACGAAGAATTTCATTATCAATACGAGTACCAGAGATAAATGTGGGTCCATTCAAAATATGAATATATAAAGTTAATTCTTCAAGATATGACATTCGACGAAGAAGAGGTAAAACTTGTTTACGATATGCTCGGGTACTATTATAACATATTAATGAAAAACATTTTAAATTAGGTAGATCATCCTAAACAATAGAAAGAAAAGATTTATAAATTCATCTTTATCAGTTGAACTCAGAAATAAATTTACATC